ATTACTATAGACCATAAAGGCATTTTCAAAATAATAGAATACTACAAGAAATTAAAAAAAGAGGGGGGGAGTTGAGATGGCAGAGGAGTAGCAGGCTGAGATGACATCAGATAGCAGGAGATCAGCTGGATAGTTTATCAAACTGTTCCAAACACCTACAAATCCAACAGGAGATTGAAGAGAAGAAGAGTAGCAATTCCAGAAACAGAAAATTGACCCTTTCTGAAAAGTAGGACCTGCAGAGAAGTGAATCCAAAGCAACAGGAAGATAGACCGTGGGGGTAGGGGTCAGCTCCCAGCAAGCAGTGGAGCAACAGAGCACAAAATCTGAACTTTTAAAAGTCTGCTCCACTGAGGGACATTGCTCCAGATGCTAAGCAGGGCTGAAACCCTTGCAGGACAGCATGGTCTCAGGTCCCGCAGGGTCACCCAAGGATCAGGGGTGTCTGAGTATTGCATAGCTCACAGGTATTAGAGCAGGGAAGCTGGCTACAGAGACAGAGCCAAGGAGTGAGCTCTTAGCTTAGGATTCCCTTAAACTGTGATCTGGGGCAGAGTCAGGCCACTGCTCTTTGAGCAGGGACCCCACAAGTGCAGATTTGGGGAGACCTCCCTGGAAGAGTGGCAGTGATCTGCTAGGTTTGGAAACTCCAGACAAGATTGTGTGCCAGAGACAGAAATGCTCAGTCACAGGCTGGGTGAGCTCGGTGTGCAGCTGGAGGCCAGGGAGACAGGAGTGATTGAGTGCTTTTCTCCGAGGGCGCACTGAGTAGTGGGGCCCCGAGCTCTCTGTTTCTCTGGGCTGGAGATTGGGAGTCTGCCATTTTCATTCCTGTCCTCCAGACCTGTATGGAAAGTGATCAGGGAACAAAAGCTCCCAAGAGCGAACCCCGTCAGATTACTTAGCCCAGCCCCTGGCAAGGGTGGTGCAATTACGCCATGGGCAAAGACACTTGAGAATCCTACAACAGGCCCCTTTCCCAGAAGATCAGAAAGCTATCCAGCCAAGGCCAAGCTTACTTATCAAGGAGAACAGCGGAATTCCAGAGAAGGAGAAAGCAAAGCATGGAATTCATGGCTTTCTCCCCATGATTCTTTAATCTTGCAAGTTAATTTTTTTAATTTTATTTTTTTCTTATTCTATTTTTTTTAAATTTTACTCTTTCATCTTTTAACATTTCTTAACTAGTTTATCTTAACAATACCTCTCATTAAAAAAAAAATCTTTTTGAACCTTCATTATTGTAGTCATATTTTATCCTTCATTGTATCTATCTTTATTTTTCATATACACATTGGGTTTTTTCTTCTAAAAAAATTGGGATACAACTTCTAATAGATCAAAATATACCCTAAATCTAGCACAGGGCTTTGTTCTAGACTCCAGCCTGAGAAAATTCCCTCTACTTTCTTTTTCTTTCTTTACCCAACCAATTTATCTTATTAACTCCTTTTTTAGAATTTTTTTTTTAATTCTCATCGTTACAGTCATACTACATCCCTTCATCATGTTTACCCTTGTGTGTGTGTGTGTGTGTGTGTGTGTGTGTATCTTTAAAATTTGGGGAGGTAGTTTCTTCTAAGAGACCAAAGCATTCCCAAATTTAAGTAGGTGGCTCTGTTTTATTAACCAGTCTAATATCTATATTTTCTTTTATCTTTCTTTCTTTTTTAAAATTTTTTTAACTTTTTACCCCTTTTCTTCCCCCCACAATTTGGGGTCTTTTCTGATTTGGTTAACACACATTTTTCTGGGGTCTTTGCCACCCTTTTAATATTTTATTATCTCCTTCATATATTCTTATCTGGATAAAATGACAAGGCTGAAAAAAACACAAAAAAAGAACAAGAAGCAGTACTGAAAGCTAGGGACTTAATCAATATGGACATTGGTAATATGTCAGAACTAGAGTTCAGAATGATGATTCTCAAGGTGCTAGCTGGGCTCAAAAAAGACAAGGAAAATATTAGAGAAAACTTGTCTGGAGAAATAAAAGCCCTTTCTGAAGAATAAAAGAACTAAAATCTAACCAAGCTGAAATGAACAAAAGCCATTAATGAGGTGCAATAAAGAATGGAAGCTCTGACTGCTAGGATAAATGAGGCAAAAGAGAGAATTAGTGATATAGAAGATCAAATGATAGAGAATAAAGAAGCTGAGCAAAAGAGAGACAAACAACTACTGGACCACGAGGGAAGAATTCAAGAGATAAGTGATACCATAAGATGAAACAACATTGGAATAATTGGGATCCAGAAGAAGAAGAAAGAAAGAGGGGAGTAGAAAGTATATTGGAGTGAATTTTTGTAGAGAATTTCCCCTAATATGGCAAAGGGAACAAGCATCAAAATCCAGGAGGCATAGAGAATCCCCCTCAAAATCAATAAGAATAGGTCCACATCCCATCATCTAATAGTAAAACTTACAAGTCTCAGTGACAAAGAGAAAATCCTGAAAGCAGCCCGGGACTAGAAGTCTGTAACATACAACGGTAAAAATATTAGATTGGCAGCAGACTTATCCACAGAGACCTGGCAGGCCAGAAAAAAACTGGCATGATATATTCAGAGCACTAAATGAGAAAAACATGCAGCCAAGAATACTATATCCAGCTAGGTTATGACTGAAAATAGAAGGAGAGATAAAAAGCTTCCAGGACAAACAAAAACTAAAAGAATTTGTAAACACAAAACCAGCTCTACAGAAAATATTGAAAGGGGTCCTCTAAGCAAAGAGAGAGCCTAAAAGTAGTAGATTAGAAAGAAACAGAGATAATAAACAGTAACAGTCACCTTACAGGCAATACTATGGCACTAAATCCCTCAATAGTTACCCTGAATGTAAATGGGCTAAATGCCCCAATCAAAAGACACAGGGTATCAGAAGGGATAAAAAAAAAAAAAAAAAACAAAACAAATAACAAAAACAAAAACAAACAAACAAACAAAAAATATCAATATGCTGTCTATAAGAAACTCATTTTAGACCCAAAGACACCTCCAGATTTAAAGTGAGGGGGTGGAAAACAATTTACCATGTTAATGAACATCAAAAGAAACCTGGGGTGGCAGTCCTTATATCTGATAAATTAGATCTTAAGCCAAAGAGATGAGAAAGGACACTATATCATACTCAAAGGGTCTGTCCAATAAAGAGATCTAACAATTTTAAATATCTATGCCCCTAACATGGGAACAGCCAACTTCATAAAGCAATTAATAATAAAATCAAAGAAACACATTGATAATAATGCAATAATAGAAAGGGACTTTAACATTCCTCCTCACTGAAATGGACAGATCATCCAAGCAAAAGATCAACAAGGATTTAAAGGTCTTAAATGACACACTGGACCAGATGGACATCACAGATATATTCAGCAACAGAATACACATTCTTCTCTAGTGTATATAGAACATTCTCCAGAATAGATCACATCCTGGAGCACAAATCGTGTCTCAACTGGTACCAAAAGACTGGGATCATTCCCTGCATATTTTCAGACCACAATGCTCTGAAGCTAGCACTCAATCACAACAGGGAATTTGGAAAGAACCCAAAAATATGGAGGCTAAAGAGCATCCTTCTAAAGAATGAATGGGTCAACAAGGAAATTAAAGAAGAATTGAAAAAAAAATCATGGAAACAAATGATAATGAAAACACAATGGTTCAAAATCTGTGGGACACAGCAAAGGCTGTCCTGAGAGGAAAATATATAGCAATGCAAGCCTTTCTCAAGAAACAAGAAAGGTCTCAAATACACAACCTAACTCTACACCTAAAGGAGCTAGAGAAAGAACAACAAAGAAAGCCTAAACCCAGCAGGAGAAGAGAAATCATAAAGATCAGAGCAGAAATCAATGACATAGAAACCGAAACAAACAAACAAACAAAACAGTAGAACAAATCAACCAAACTAGGAGCTGGTTCTTTGAAAGAATTAATAAGATTGATAAACCCCTATTTGTCAGGGGTTTATCCCTGTCCAGACTTAACAAAAAAAAAAAAAAATGAGAGAGAGAGAGAGAGAGGACCCAAATACATAAAATTATTAATGAAAGAGGAGAGATCACAACCAACACCAAAGAAATACAAACAATTATAAGAACATATTATGAGCAAATATATGCCAGCAAATTTGACAATCTGGAAGAAATGGATACATTCCTAGAGACATATAAACTACCACAACTGAACCAGGAAGAAATAGAAAACCTGGACAGACCCATAGCCAGTAACAAGATCGAGGCGGTCATCAAAAATCTCCCAAAAAACAAGAGCCCAGGGCCAGATGGCTTCCCAGGGGAATTCTACCAAACATTTAAAGAAGAATTAATTCCTTTTCTCCTGAAACTGTTCCAAAAAATAGAAATGGAAGGAAAACTTCCAAACTCATTTTATGAGGCCAGCATTACCTTGATCCTAAAACCAGACAAATATCCCATCAAAAAAGAGAATTACAGACCAATATCCTTGAAGAACACAGATGCAAAGATTCTCACCAAAATACTAGCCAATAGGAGCAAAAGAGCATTTTGTTCTTTGACCTAACAAGAGTACTTTGGGGCAGGGGATGCAATTTATATAGGTACTTCAAGATAAAGAACCTAAATATGCTGCATTTTGTTTCTTTAGCTTTTATATGTAGCATTTTGTTTTGCTTTTATTTTGTTTTTAAATCTATGCTTTTTGGATCCCTATAGACTGTTGAAAGAAATTTTAAAGTTACTCTTGTCTGGATACAGTATCCTTTGTTTTTGTCTTTTTAACTTCAGTATCTGGTTCAAAGGTTGCCCACCAGTAGAATACTACTTTACCCAAATATACCTGAGAAAAAGGGTACCGTGTGTGCAAGCAGACAATATTTATTTTTTATTTTTTATTTTTTTTATTTTTTTGCTTTTTAAAGTTTTTATTTCAAAAAAATAAAGCCACTGTTTATTTCACATAAATATCTGGGGAAGGAAGGGGACAGGGATGTAGCGGGGGCTTGGCCCCTACCTCCTCTTCTCTTCCACACTGTATGGAAAAGCAAAAGGGATAGCTTGCCAAACCAGAGGGACAGCCATATCTGCTTCATGGTCATGTGATCTGGGAGAACTTCATTGTCAAAAAGGAGCTGTACATGCTGGGGATTTAGCATTAAGTGGTGACACAGGACCCTCCGGAGATGACGAACTTCAGCTCTAACAGAACATCCGACGTATTTGTTCTGCAGGATGCTTTTATTCTTGTCTTCGCCAGAACTCAGCCATTCCATGCACAGGCTCAGCTGCTCATCATAGCGATAGTAGTGGGCTTTTGAGTGGTCAAAGCTGCTGAAAGGGAGGCCGAGGTTGCTCAGGGCTGGCTCTTCCCCACTGGGTTGGGTGACCCAGTCCAAGCTTCGGGACTGGTAGAATTCTCGAATCCGTTTCTCTTCACTGTCTTGTAAGCCAGGTACTCGCTTGTACACGATGTCCTGCATGACCCGGTGCAGTTTGAGGTTGAGCAGTGGCTGTGTCTCATGGATCTTGATGTTGCACATGGGGCAGTACTTACTGGTTTGGAGGTACTTCACAATACAACTCTTGCAGAATGTATGAAGACACTCTGTGGTGGTGGTAGCATCCATGAAGTACCCAGAGCACAGGCAGAAGACGATGTGCTCATTCAGGTCTTTGATCTTTACTTGGAACTCCTCCTTCGGTAGCGGATCCATCTTGTACACTGACTGGAGCTGGTTCCAAAGCCTCATCGCTTCCAACAGTACATTAAAAGGATCATTCACTATGACCAAGTGGATTTATTCCAGGGCTGCAAGGTTAGTTCAGCATCTGCAAGTGAATCAATGTGATACAATACATTAATAAAAGAAAGAACAAGAACCACATGATACTCTCAATAGATGCTGAAAAAGCATTTGACAAAGTACAAAATCCTTTCTTGATCAAAACTCTTCAAAGTGGAGGGTTAGGGAGTACATAGCTCAATATCATCAAACCATTTGTAAAAAAACCCACAGTGAATAACATTCTCAATGGAGAAAAACTGAGAGCTTTTCCCCTAAGGTCAGGAACACGGCAGGGATGTCCACTATCACTGCTGCTATTCAACATAATACTAGAAGCGCTAATCTAGGCAATCAGACAACAAAAAGAAATTAAAGACATCCAAATCATCAACGAAGAAGTCAAACTATCACTCTTTGCAGACTATATGATACTTTATATGGAAAACCCAAAAGCCTCCACTTCAAATCTGATAGAACTCATACAGGAATTCAGTAAAGTGTCAGGATATAAAATCAATGCACAGAAATCAGTTGCCTTTCTGTACACCAACAAGAAGACAGAAGAAAGAGAAATTAAGGAGTCGATCCCATTTACAATTACACTCAAAACCATAAGATACCTAGGAATAAACCTAGGCAAAGAGGCAAAGAATCTGTACTCAGAAAACTGTAAAGTACTCATGAAAGAAATTAAGGAAGACACAAAGAAATGGAAAAATGTTCCATGCTCATGGATTGGAAGAACAAATATTGTGATAATGTCTATGCTACCTAAAACAATCTACATGTTTAATGCAATTCCTACCAAAATCCCATCCACTTTTTTCAAAGAAATGGAAAAAATAATCCTAAAATTTATATGGAACCAGAAAAGACCTCAAATAGCCAAAGGAATATTGAAAAAGAAATCCAAAGTTGGTGGCTTCACAATTCCAGACTTTAAACTCTATTACAAAGCTGTCATCATCAAGACAGTATGGTACTCACACAAAAACAGACACATCAATCAATGGAACAGAATAGAAAGCCCAGAAATAGACCCTCAACTCTATGGTCAACTAATCTTCGACAAAGCAGGAAAGAATGTCCAATGGGAAAAAGACAGTCTCTTCAATAAATGGTGCTGGGAAAATTGGACAGCCACATGCAGAAAAATGAAATTGGACCATTTTCTTACACCACACACAAAAATAGACTCAAAATGGACGAAAGACCTCAATGTAAGACAGGAATCCATCCAAATCCTTGAGGAGAACACAGGCAGCAACCTCTTTGACCTCAGCCACAGCAACTTTTTCCTAGGAACGTCACCAAAGGCAAGGGAAGCAAGGGCATAAATGAACTATTGGGACTTCATCAAGATGAAAATCTTTTGTACAGCAAAGGAAACAGTTAACAAAACCAAAAGACAACTGACAGAATGGGAGAAGATTTTTGCAAATGACATATCAGATAAAGGGCTAGTATCCAAAATCTATAAAGATCTTATCAAACTCAACACCCAAAGAACAAATAATCCAATCAAGAAATGGGCAGAGGACATGAACAGACATTTCTGCAAAGAAGACATCCAGAGGACAACAGACACATGAAAATGTGCTTTGCATCACTTGGCATCCGGGAAATACAAAGTGAAACCACAATGAGATACCACCTCACACCCGTCAGAATGGCAAAATTAACAAGTCAGGAAATGATAGATGCTGGCGAGAATGTGGAACCCTCCTACACTGTTGGTGGGAATGCAAGCTGGTGTAACCACTCTGAAAAACAGCATGGAGGTTCCTCAAAAATTTGAAAATAGAGCTACCCTATGACCCAGCAATTGCACTACTGGGTATTTACCCTAAAGATACAAATCTAGTGATCCGAAGGGGCACATGCACCCGAATGTTTATAGCAGCTATGTCCACAATAGCCAAACTATGGAAAGAACCTAGATGTCCATCAACAGATGAATGGATAAGAAGATGTGGCAACTATATATATATATGTTATATATATATATAGTTAAACTATATATACATATATATATATAATGCAGCCATCAAAAGAAATGAAATTTTGTTGTTTGCGATGACGTTTATGGAACTAGAGGGTTTTGTGCTTAGCAAAATAAGTCAATCGGAGAAAGACAATTATCATATGATCTCCCTGAAATGAGGAAGTTCAGAGGCAACATGGGAGGGGGTTGGGAGGTAGGAAAGGAATAAATGAAACAAGATCGAATCGGAAGGGAGAAAAACCGTAAGAGACTCTTACTCTCACAAAACAAACTGAGGTTTGCTGGGGGTGGGGAGGGGAAGCATGGTTGGGTTATGGACATTGTGGAAGGTATGTGCTATGGTGAGTGCTGTGAAGTGTGTAAACCTGGTGATTCACAGACCTGAACCCCTTTGGCTAATAATACTTTATACGTTAATAAAAAATTTAAAAAAAAGAAAAAAAAAACACAACAACCTGTGAATGTATGCTCAAGAACAATACAAAACATGAGTAGTCTGTACTCATTTTATACTCACTTAATACTCACATATCAAGGAAATATAATTTTTAATGCAAATATACAGGAAAACAATATTTCTGGTCCAGGTATTTTTTTAGTGACATTCTCCCACACTTTTAGGAAATAATATTGAGATTTCTGAAGTGATAGAGTAAAAACCTCCAAAACTTGCTAGTCCATAAAACACAAGAACATTGACAATGATGGTCCAAATGAACTTTTTAGAATGTAAGAAATTAACCAAAGACTTGCAACAATCTAAGGGACATTTAACTATTAAAAGTCGCTGGATCTTGTTAAGTATGGTGAAATCTGTGGCAATTTAGTTTTTCCTATTGCATCCCTGATCCCACTCCACAATAAATTTGAAAACCAGGAACCTCACAATAACATTGACCATGAAACCTGAACAACTAGTAGTCACTAAGAGAGAAGAATGTATTTCAAGCTTCCCCCAAAGTCCCAACGTTAGATATTTTTCATTATTTGACTTGTCTGGCAGTTCTGTGGAAACATTCACTGGCATTGCTCGTTTTATTATTGTTGTTGTTGTTTTGTTTTGTTTTTGTTTGGTTTTGTTTTGTTTTTAATCTGACTCAGAACTCACTCATGGCAAACAATCTTTCTCCTGGAACCCTTATCAGTAGCAATCAGTGGCAATTATTCATAATTGCAGTTCTTTGAGACGGCAGTAACAATTTGAGGAAACTAAAAGCTGACCAAAAGCTGGAAATGAAATGCCAAAATGTGGTCTTGAAAGCTATATGACCGATTCTGGGAATCTAAAAATCCAGATACATATGTAGTTTTATACATAATCCAAGAAAGACCTAATTAGGTCTCACCTAATCATTCTAATAATCTCAGAATGATCTTTTGGATACATGCAAGCAGAAAGTAGATTGTAAAAGTGTTGAAGGTGTTTTGAAACATACACGCAAAACCTATTGTAAAGTCTCAGAGACTTATTAGTTAAAGATATTTAAGGAAAAAAACAAACAAACAAACAAAAATGTCCAATTATACTTTACTGCTATAGCAGTCAAGGAGATATCTCAGTGGCCATACACAGCTAATATTACATTACAAAATTAATTAAGGAAAACCATAAACAGTAGCTATAAAAATAAGCAAAATAATTCCTGAGAAGCAGAAGAAATCTAATTTCCAGAGTTGCTGCATTATACTATTTTAAATATCTGGTTACCAACAAAGAAAAATTACAAGACATGCAAAGAAATTGGAAAGTGAGAAAACATCAATAGAAGCTCTTCCTGAAGGGTGCCCGGGCAGCTCAGTTGGTTAAGCATCTGCTTTTGGCTCAGGTCATGACCTCACAGTTCTGGGATCAAGCCCTGTGCCTGGCTTCCTGCCCAGTAGGTAGTCAGCTTCTCCCTCTTCCTCTGTTTGCCTGGCTCCTGTTCCTGCTCACTCTCTCCCTCTCTCAAATAAATAAATAAAAATCCTAAAAAAAAAAAAAAAAAGAAACTTTTCATGAATGTGCCCAGAAATTGACTTACTAGATAAAGACTTTAAGTTAGCTATTTCAAAATATGTTCAAAGAACTAAAGAAAACCATGCCTAAAGAAATAAATTATGAGTATAATATCTAAAGAAATAGAAAATACCAGTAAAGAGAGAAAGGTGAAGAAAAATATTTGACAGGATAATGGCCATAAATTTCTCAAAATTTTTTTTTAAAGATTTTATTTATTTATTTGACAGGGAGATACACAGTGAGAGAGGGTACACCAATAGGGGGAGTAGGAGAGGGAGAAGCAGGCTTCCCAATGAGCAGGCAGCCTGATCCTAGGACCCCGGGATCATGACATGAGCTGAAGGCAGATGCTTAATGACTGAGCCACACAAGCACCCCAATTTCTCAGTTTTGATGAAAAACTTTAATTGGCACATATGACAAGTTCAACAGATTCCAGATAGCACAAAACTGAAGATATTCATACCTAGCCACATCATTGGTGAACTTTCTAAACCCAGAAACAGAAACTTGGAACGGTAACATTGAAAGTATGGAAATGAAAGAAAAATATTAACTAAGAATTCCATTCCGGGAAAACAAAACAATACAAAACAAAACAAACAAACAAACAAAAAACATCCTTCAATGAAGAAGACCTTTTTCCACATCTCAGAAAATGGACAGATGCACTTTTCCTTATCTTCTCACAAAATATAACTAAACACCAAGAGTGTTATATCTATCATCTATCTAATAAAGGTGAAAGTAGATGAGCTTGTAATTCTATTAGTAAGGAACAAAGTATGTTGAGTTTTTAGGTTTCTTTTTGCCTCATATATGTCACACATGGAGATGAAATATATAGCAAAATGAAAATGTTTATGGCTGCACAAAACAAACAAACAAACAAAAACACCTCTGAAACATTTTCTTTCTAGCCAGATGACCAAGAAGCTGGGTAATCTGGCAAGACAAAGC